ATAGATAGATAGATAGATAGATAGATAGATAGATAGATAGATAGATACTATGACAAAGACAGAAACAACATAAAGGCAAAGTCATCAAAGGCTTCAGTTTGTAATGTGTGCATTGGTGATCAAAAGGAAGAAGCATGGAGCCTTAAGGATCTTCTGTGCTGTATAGACTGATCCCAGAGAGGTAGACTTTGTTTAGATGCTAATCAATTAAATGGCTCGTGTCTTGATGACACCAATATTAGTCTTACAGAGTCTAAGGAAACTGTTTATGAAATCATGATTGTTATTGAGTGGCTGCTTAGGAAACAAATGTTCCCTTTGGATGAACTGTGCCTAAGGTTATCAAAGGACAGCTGAGACAAAGCAAGCCTAGGCCCTGTTTGGCCCACAGTCTGTCATGTGACTTTTATAGAGGGCTATTGTGTTTGTCAATACACCCTCCCTTAGACCAGAGGGAAAAGAGGAAGCTCAGTGCCACTTAATTGATCATTGACTACAGCAGACGATGTAAACACTGTTTATAATTTTCTCAATTACTCAGATTTTGACCAATCAAAGACTGACTTTGCAACTAACATCAAGGAAAGATGCTAAATGTGAGATGAATATGCAGCTCTAAGGAATATATAAAAGGCCAGGTGAGGAAGGTACAGTCCAAACTCAGAAACTTCTCTTCACAGAACAACCAACTTGACTCCTGACCTTGACACCATGGCCTGCTGCGCTACTAGCTTCTGCGGCTTTCCCACATGCTCCACCGGTGGCACCTGTGGCTCCAGCTGCTGCCAGCCCAGCTGCTCCCAGTCCAGCTGCTGTCAACCCAGCTGCTCCCAATCCAGCTGTTGCCAGCCCTGCTGCTCCCAGTCTAGCTGCTGCCAGCCCTGCTGCTCCCAGTCCAGCTGCTGCCAGCCCAGCTGCTGCCAACCAAGCTGCTGTGGAACCGGCAGTGGCCAGGAGGGTGGCAGTGGAGGCGTGAGCTGCCGCGTCAGATGGTGCCGCCCAGACTGCCGCGTGGAGGGCACCTGCCTGCCCCCCTGCTGCGTGGTGAGCAGCACACCCCCAACCTGCTGCCAGCTGCACCATGCCCAGGCCTCCTGCTGCCGCCCATCCTACTGTGGACAGTCCTGTTGCCGCCCAGCCTGCTGCTGCTACTGCTGCCCCCCAAGCTGCTCTGAGCCAAGCTGCTAAGAGCCAGGGTGCTGGGTATCTCAGAATGAAATGGAAAGCCCTGCAGAATTGCATGGATCTCTAAGAAAATGCTCTGTGTAGTGGATGCTAAGTATCTTCATGTTGCTAACCTGCTCATCAGTAGTGGAACGATTCATCAGGACCCCACAGATGTGCTGGAATTAGCATACTGCAAGCACGCCTCAGTTGGTGTGTTCAAAGGACTCTGCTTTGCTTAGGCAGTGCACCAGGATGGGGTGCGACTTCATTCCAGTGACATATGGACTTCCTTCCCTAATTCTTGGTCCCCATATATCTTCAGCCATGCTTTCTACTTAAATAATCTCTGTTGCTCTCAAATAAAGTGTTTTGTGCACATGTGGACAGATTTCTGTCCATCTTCTAATTTTAAGCTGCCCACCTACAGACCATAGTAATCGTCAGCCGTAGACATCTAAATCTGAAACAAAATCGTTCTGTGAAAATTACCTTATGTTTGAGTCATCTGCTAATAAAAATGTTCTGTGCGCTAAATAATCATCATGGCTATTTCAATATGTGGATATTTTATTAAAATAGATCCAGACAAATAGAGTTACCCTGGATGAACTTTTTCTATCAGCTCTGACCTTGTACCTTTCAGTCAAGTAGATGTTTTTCTTCATCCATGTACAAAACAAAGAAACCAGATTATCTACTAAATAGATTAAAAAAATATCTACCAATACTATTTCTGGGACAACGCGGATTTAGTTCCTACTACTTGGCCTTCTCTTTCCCCTTGGTTTCCAGCTGTGTAAGCCTCAGCTGCAGTATTCACCTGCACTTGCCAAGGGTATGAGGGGTGCCTCTGTGCCAGGTGAGAGCAGAGCAGACAGCTTTGGGATATAACTGCTGAGTTCCAGCCTCATGTCATACAGATGTGTTAGAAATCTCAAACATAAATATCACAACTGAAAATTTACAAGCCCATCAAAATATGCCTTTTGGGGGGGAAATTAGCTCAAGAAAAGGAGACAGATTTTATCATCTAATTTTAACTCTTGGGTAAGATGTTGACTACAACACATAAAATACAAAAATCTAAGAAGAGATGAGAAATATCTTTCGAGGTTATATACAAGTACCCAGAACTTACCTCTCTCATTAAATTGGCAGCAAGGATAGATCACAAACAGGATGGTACATTCCAGAAAATTGAGTGGCTGTGCATTTTTTTCAAGGTGTCATGACTCCTAGATATTTTCCCCAAGCTTTTGTTCAACCGCCAAATTAAGACAAAAATAACTCGACATTCCCCAGTATCCCCACAGCAAATGAGTCTCCTCTGTGGGCGGCGCTACAACTTGAAAGTGCTATTTACTCATTCTTGAGTGGCTCAGGCGTCCATGAATCATGCCTGATGCTCCTCCCTCTCAGTTACTCCCCACTGAATCAGATTCAATAAATATTTAATAAGACTCTATCAAAATCAGGCTAGATACTTTCTGTAAAACCATGTTGCTTGGCTCACAACGAAAAAATTCTGGCCTGAAATAAAATGTTCACACATTACCAGTCAGCTGAAATGGCAAGCATTACAAAGCTCATTTGAGATGGTGCTGAATAGAGTCAGTGGAGGAGATGCTTCTATTACATGTGATCGAATACCCCAATGTTCTAAATTAAATGTAACTTGGTCTATGTATTCAGAAGGGGAAAAAATGATTCTTGGAAAGAACAAATTGTCCTCTGCTTCGGAGTTGTGCATAGATGCCCAAGAGGAATGGCAACTATTCAGAATAAGGGCGTTGCCTTAACCTAAAGTGAGAAGGCTCTTTGAACATGGAAACCACAAACACTCCCCTAAAGAGTATATGGCCGATAGAACGAGTCACAGCAACCTTATAAAACAAAGTCAATCCCATCATATGTCTCAAGAATTTCAATGGAAGCCAATCAGAGTACCACTGAGGAACAAATTTAAACAAAAACAAGAAAAATATGTTAAGAATTTTGTAAGCACTAGCTCGCTTGACTATATAAAGGGCCCGTGTTCAGGTCAGCTCCCAAACTCAGAAACTCATCCCAGCTACTCAACACTCAACCAACTCCTAACACCATGGCCTGCTGTACTACTAGCTTCTGCGGCTTTCCCACATGCTCCACTGGTGGTACCTGTGGCTCCAGCTGCTTCCAACCAAGCTGCTGTGAAGGTGGCTATGGCTATGGCATCGGGGGTGGCATTGGCTATGGCATCGGGGGTGGCATTGGCTATGGCCAGGAGGGTGGCTATGGAGGCGTGAGCTACCGTGTGAGATGGTGCCGCCCAGACTGCCGCGTGGAAGGCACCAGCCTGCCCCCCTGCTGCGTGGTGAGCAGCATACCTCCATCCTGCTGCCAGCTGCACCATGCCCAGGCCTCCTGCTGCCGCCCATCCTACTGTGGACAGTCCTGCTGCCGCCCAGCCTGCTGCTGCTACTGCTGCTAGCCCACCTGTTAAGAGCCAGGTTGCAGATTTTCAATGCTCCTGAATTGTACATCTCCTTGACCAACCCTGGACCAGTAACAAGATCTTCAACCTTTACTTCATTGTCTATTATGGGGCTATAGAATACCAGTACATCTTAGTCCTGTCTAGATCTGTTCTACAATCAATATCCTGACCCTTTATAGTGGATCCAGAATGCTAAAAACCTGCAAGCTGATCACTAAATTGTTCTAGATACACTGGGTCTAAAATTCTTATGGATTTGAAAACTATCAAACTCTCAAGAAATCTTTTCTTAAGAACAGACCAGAACTGTGTCCACCCTGCTTGATGACCAATTTTTCATTTCTGTTTACTTAAAGCTTTTCAGCATCAAAGACACCAGACTACAGCAGAGAGACATTCTTCAAGTATCATCAGAGAAAACGGAAGTTCTTTACTGCACCCCCAGCCTCTAAGTAATAGGCTAGACCAGCCTGGCTGTGGTGGTGCACACCTTTAATCCCAGCACTTGGGAAGCAGGGGCAGGCAGATCTCTGTGAGTTCGAAGCCAGCCTGGTCTACAAAGTGAGTTACAGGACAGACTTCAAAGCTACACAGAGAAATCCTGTTTCAGGAAGGAAAAAAAAAGGAAGGAAGGAAGGAAGGAAGGAAGGAAGGAAGGAAGGAAGGAAGGAAGGAAAGAATAGACTGGACCATTCCTCATTTGGCCATTGATTCCCTTCCTTATTTTTTGGATCATAATTAGCTTGCCTATTGGCTCTTTTCATTATATCTATAGTACTGTGTCTTGTGATGTTTCTTAATAAAAATTGTTTCCTGGGCAAAGAAACCATGGTTTTTGTTTCTACTTGTTCATCTAGTATTTCACTTGCTTATAATTTTAGAAAATGTACTTAGATGAATTCTTTTGTTTCTTCTGAGAAACTAAAGTCATTCATGCTTCATGTATTATTCTCGCCATTAAAATGCATTAATGGCCACTTTAAGGCAGGAAATTGGAAGACATGAAAAATCAGCTCTAATCTGTGACAACCTGGCTATCCAGAAAGAAAAGACATATGGTTAAATAGCTACAATGTGATGAGATAAATTATAATCTTCACCCAGTTTACAGACGCACTCTTGGTGGGTAGTGTTTGTGGTCAATATGTCTTGAAAGACTTGCTTACAATAAAGTATTTCTCCACAGGCCAGGAAGTACCAAAATCCTACTTGAATAATAGGAAATAACACCACACAAAATTGAGAGAAAATTTTTGTCTAGAAACAAAAAAGAGAAAAAAGAAAGAGGGGGCAGAATTACGTCATTGGGAACTCATGGATCTTGTCACGTGATCCCTCCTCATCAAGACACAAATTCACGTCATCTTTGAGACTTTCTGTGAAAAGCACTGAAGTGGCTGGGTTTCCTGTGTGCATCAGTTTAGAAAAAGACAGAAGTCACAAAGGGGCTGACAGAGCAAAGGGACCAAAAGGAAGCAATGTCTCAAGAGATTACAGAAATGACCAGTGGTGCACAGGAAATAATACCTTGGGTGTGTTAACTGAAAAGAACACATAGAATGATCTGAAATATCATTCTAATGAACATATAGCAGGATCTGAAAATGTAAGCGATTGCTTCACCATGGGACCAATAAGGTCTGTGTGATGGCGTCAGCAGCAAGAGAGGCTTTACAAAGGAGAGAGTCCTTATAGGGAGCTATGGAGGTCTTTCCCAGTGAAAAGAAAAGGATGAGAAAGAGGAACCTATACACCTATTAGAATAATGAAATCCAAAGCAACAACACAACCAAATGCCGATGGGGATGTGCAGCAATGGCAAAGCTCACTTGTTGTTGATGGGGATGCAGGATGCAGAATACAGCCCTTCGGTACTCTGGGACCTTATTACAAAACTGAACACACTGTTACTATAGAACCTACAAATTGTGCTCCTGTATAGATACCCAAATGAGATGAAAACTTATATCTACTTTGAAAACCTGCACTCATGTTGATTATAAGTGACCAAGATATCTTTCGGTAGGTAATAGGATAAACAAACCCTGGGACATTTATCCAGTGAAATACTCTTTGGCTTGCTATAAAACAAGTGAAATAAACCAGTCTGAAAAGGCTACATGCTAAATAGTTCAACAACAGGTCATCCTTCTGTCAAAGACACAGAAAGAGTCAATAGTCAACCTGACCATCCTACATCCTTGCTGCGCAGATGTCTGGGTCTAACACTGGAAGACAAGCTTAGGATTTAAAGAAAATACGTTACAGAAATAGAGCATCACAGGACGATCTGGTGAAACCTACAGAGCAGGTGGTTAGGCTTCTGAAACAGCATTCCTTCTCAGATAAACGGAGCATGGGAGATAGTAAACTCCCTTCCTTGTCACCTCAGCTAACCGTTCTTATTTGAAACACACACCCGATGCTTCGAACCAAGTCCTGTGAAACTGGCAGAGCCCTGGTCCTGACATCGATGAGTCTGTACCAATGCCTGCAGTTAGAACATTCCTGTGACATGGTACAGTAGGCTGCAATCAACTCTCAAAAATGTCAGCTTCCCACATACAACATCTACTGGTCATAAACAGTCAAATAACGGCAAAAGGCCACACATTTCAAATTCCAAAGCAGAACTGATAGTGTTGCTTTAATGGGGGGATTACTGACGTGGGAAGGTTGATGAAAAACGAAGGGATAGGAAAGAAATTAATATTAAATGAAGGGGAAAGAATTACAAGATGAAAAAAAGAACAAAAGAGAGAAGAAAAACAGACCAAGACACAGTGAGAGCAAAGAAGGGACAAAAGGTAGAACAGAGAGAGTCCTGAGAATACTTAGAAAAGGGAAAGCTGGAAACCCACCCAACTCTGTTTAGCACTGTGTACTGTCCAAATGCTGACACTTAGCATTGATGCTTATGCCAGATTTATTTTGTGTAACCCTCATATCAATCCTATGAAATAGATATGTGTACCCTGCTTATACATGGATAAGTAATTTTAAGAGAGGCAAAGTGTCTTGCTTTCTGATGCATAGCTCATAAGAAAGAAGCTGAAATATGAGTCCACCTCTATATGACTCCAAAACCCACGAAAAGGGGACTAAAGAATTAAACGGACAGTTTGCTAAAGTTCCTAAGCCTGGGCCTGCAAGGTGGCTCAGTTGGGGAAACACTTTCTGCTCACCATCCTGAGTTCAATCTCTGGAACCCATGTAAAGGTGAAAGGAGAGGACCAAGTCCACAAAGTTGACTAACTTACACGTGTGTATTCATCATATCATGCATGCCCACACATGCCATACACACAATAATAATAGTAGCAGTAGTAGCAGCAGCAATAGCAATAGTAGTAGACTGAATAAAACAAAAATTCTTATGATTAAAAAATAGTTACTTATAGATCATGGACTTCCAAAGAAGTTACCAGATGCTGGTACATAGGTTATAGTCTTATAAAGCTGCTCCCCCCCGCTCTCCACACTCAGCTTGGGGAGGCCAGTAGTGGTGCTATGTAAACCACATCACTGTTTCTGTGACCGTTTTGTTTAAGCCACCTAGCACTCATCCTTAGACTTCTGAGTCCTTTAAGGCCATCCTCGAAGTTCAGGATATTAGAAAACATCAAGGAGACATACAACGAGTCAGCTCTCAGCACCCTTTTTCATAATTTATTTATTTTAGTTTTCTCTGACTCTTCCTTTCTATAACTGCTACTTCTGTGATAAGCTATTCTTTTGTCTCATTTTTTAATTACTAAGATAATACCACCTATGGCTAGTTAATAGTAGCTTATATTAAATTCTCTGTGAGGGGGAGGGACTGGCACTTTTCCCCTCCTTACTGGATCCTCACTCATACAAAAGTTGGTACCAAGGGAGCAGGGGAGGTCCCAGAAAAAAAGAGATTCCGCAATGAGATTTGGTGGCTGCTTTTACAGAGCTGCTAAACTTGAACTTGGTACTAAACTTGTAACAGGAAGTGACATAGAATCGTCCCACTGTTATTATGTTGATCTAATGACTCAGGGGACCATTTGGCTGCTGCTCTCGACTCCTCGACAGTGGTGGTGACTATAACGGATGAGGAAGAGACTGTCTTCTGGCGCTGCTCCTCAGTGCTCCCAGAAGGAAAGGGACAAACTTGAGATCACAACACCCAAGCCAAGTCATTATCGGAGATCCATAAAAGACAGAACAGATGTTCCAAAATGCCACTCATTTCCTGTAGCCATAGAGCTGACATTGTCCAAAATTGAACATGGAAACTTATCACATAGTTTGCATAAGTGAAGTCAGTGGAATAGGGTCTCCTCTCGAGCCCAGATCATTCTTCTTAACTCCCCGCATGCTGTTGGAGTCATTTCCTTCTCACACTCTCTCAGAGTCCATCCAGTGCCAGACCAGGAATGGACAACCTACTCCCATTTTTACACTTTGAACCTCTCTAGCAGCTCCACAGCATCTCTCTAATTTGTTCTGTGCTTTCGGCTGGAGAAAATATTCAGCTTTAGGGCTCCCCTGATGAGATGTTATTTGTGAAAAGCACAGCTCGGCCTTCAAGGTGGTGGAGGTATCTATGTTCAGAGGCAGCAGTGTGTTATCTGGGAATACCCATAAACCGCGATTTCCTCCTCAACAGAATTATTCATGAGGAGTTATCCACAAGGCTAATCATAGACTGAAGCAGAGGAGACAACGTGCTATCAAAAGTCTGGACCATTGCTCATTTAACGTACTTGTGCCGTTTGGATATTCTCAAATCTCGTGTCCACTTTTCCATTTTAACACATCCCTCCAGTGAGCACCCGACCTCACAGCCTGGTGGCCAGATAATACCTGTTTCATTACAAGAGCTGCTGTTTACTGCCTCTGGGAAGGTTTCACTCACAAGCATATCCCAAGTTTATCGGTAGGTAGATATTTTCTGAAGAAGGCATGCATTTTCACTAAACCCCACGGGTCCACTCTTAGCTCTCTGCTGCTCCATGCCAGAG